TAAAAGGAGACAAGCATAAAGAAGAAGTTATAGGCAATCCGAGAAAGGAAACAGAGTCTGTGGAACGCAGTTCAGTGGAATCAAAAGATAAATGAGGGGAGAGTGAATGATGTTTTAAAGAAATTGAAAGGAGAGAGGTTTTAGAACTATTGAACAAAACGTTGTTTACAATTCCTTAGGAGGAGATGCGTTCGAGACCGGCGTCCAGTGACACATTAGCTGCACTACGGTCACCATCGATGTTGGTTTCGGCATGGCGAGTAGTGCGGTAGGAGAAGGAGCAGTGGAGGGTGGCGTCATTAGCAAAAGAATGGATCGGGTTAATAGTTTGGGAAAGGAGATCATTGATAAATAGAAGGAAGAAGGTGGGTGCAAGTACTGAACCTTGGGGAACACCAGCGTTCACAGGGAATGGCTGCATGCATGGTTAAACCACTCAGGGGATTTGGATTTGCCGGGTTTGGAAGTGTGGAATAAAAAGATGCATACCTTGAAGAACAACGTGGGTGAAGTTGGAAGTGGATTCGGAAACATCCGAAGAGAAACAGCCATCGTTCCGTGGTTAAGCAGCTAGGAAATCACGGAAATCGTCCCAGTTGGCTGAGTTGTAGCGCCAGGATCTGTCTCGAGGCGGGTGATGGCTCGGAGTTTGAAGGCCTAATAGAATAAGAAACAGTAAGTAAAGTGATCTGATGAGCCACGAGGACGGTATCAATAACTGAGAATAAAGAAGGGACCGAAGTGATAATTAGAACGAAGGTGTGGGCACGATCGCTAACTCGATCAGGGACACGTGTGGCTCAGGTTGTTGACCAAGACGAAGTGTTCAGCTTCGCGCCCCAAAGGAGAAGTAGCAGATGAATGTGTCAACCAGTCCTGATTGTGAACGTTAAAATCTCCCAAGATGGTAACATGGCAGTTGAAGTCGGTTGCAAACAAATGTTCAATGTTAGAAGGTAGAAAATCAAAGATGGAAGAGTCACCGCTATTGGGGGAACGGTAAAGAACACAACAGTAATGATTAAAGGAAGGAAATCGGAGTTTCAGTCACATCAGCTGAAATTCACGATGGAAAATTCAAGATTTCGGATCCTGGAGGTGGCGACTGATTGGTGAATAAAGGTGCAGACGCCAGCTTTGGGTAGAAAGGAGGAATGGACAGTGTAGTTGGGGAATTGAAGGTGAGTGGTGTCTGACGAGAGGGAGATTTGTGTTTCGGTCAAACAAAGGGCGAGTGGGGAAGAATGGAGAAAGTGGTGTACAGAATCAATATTGCGGTTCAGTCCACGAATGTTGGTGAGGGTGATGAGTGCGTGTTTACTGTCTGAGTGCATAGAGCAAGCGAGAGCACGTGAGTGTTCGTAATTTTGTATATTCATGTATATATTGTGAGGAAACCGGCGACCATGATTCTGAAACTTGGAGTGGCGGACCACATAAGACTTCAATAGATCAGGTGTGGTAGTGAGTCAGGCAAGGGCAGAGCCGCCTACCACCTATGTCAATTCTGGTACGAGGATGGTTATTTTTGTCCTTTCAGGTGGCAAGTTATTTGACCTAGTATCGGTAATGCTAACTGGATAATCGAATAAGTTGCGAACTTTTCTACGAACATCGAGTGTTAAGTTCACTGAGTGTTTTACATCTTCGAATGCTGTTAAAGGTTTTTGGTTGATCCTTAATACACTCTAATCAGAAGATAATAGAAATAAAGTAGACGTTTACCCACTGAACTGAGATTTACATCTGGTGCACGAATTACGAATGAACTGTCTTAGTGGGATCCTTGTTTGTCACCAGTCATTTAAGGGGTTACAGCAAAATCTGCTTAGGGATGGCAGTGTGTTTGCTGCAGAGGCCTGGTCAACCTGACTTCGTGGTGCACAGAAACCCCTGGTGGATAATAAACCTATTCCCGCCCACTTTCTACACCTGTAGCTTGTAACCAGTAATAGACAGAAAATGAAAAACTGTCTGCTCAGTTGGTTAGATGGATTTGCACTGCTGATGAAACCCAACCTATCCGAAGCAGCTGTACAGTGCTTCCTATGATTGCAGTTCATGTTTCATTTGCTCTGTACACGACGAACTTCACTGCATAATAGCTCTTCACTTATTTTCAATCCAGTCTTCCTTGGTCAACTAGTTGTATAGCTCAAGGTAGTAGCTTGAAGGTACAGGATAAATGGTTGCAGAAAATGAATTTGAAACTGTTGATCTTTTGTGCTATGATCCTGCTAGGAATTGCTCTCAAAGCTAATGAAAAACAGAGACACAGAACTGATTATGCTTGGTCAGAAATACATATATCACATATCGTACATTTCAGAGTTACAAAAGAACAGCAAAATAGAAAGAGAATAGTCCTGTGTGTGTGTGTGTGTGTGTGTGTGTGTGTGTGCAAGAGATGAGGTTCATCAGACGGGGATAACACCCGAGTTCATTGCAGATTCTATCACAATTGATTCACTGGTATTAGACTGTGCAGTGCGATTATCGGGGACGCCCGGATTTGATGAGGATTCCGTCGGTTCAAATTTCGGTAGATTGAGCTTGGAGTCGAACAGATTGAATACCGTATCCAACACAGATGATGGGATCAGATCATGTTCCGTCGTACCTGTGAAATTTGACAAAAATACGATTATTATCGACAAATTCAAATCACACAGGAGTGAAAGAATAGTCACTGCATATTAGTGTTCTTCATCACTGAAGGATCGAGAAATGAGCTGTGTCACTGGAGAAAGCAAGAAATTCGGTCTTACGTACATGTCGAGCGATGACCTGAATAAGATCAACTCTGTTTCACACACTGCTGAATGAAATTATGAAGAAACTGTCACNAAAAATTATTACAGTCAGTGGTATGGTGCTAAAAGTGCTAGACCACTGAACGGCGATATGGGTAATGAAACCAAAGATATCGGGGGCCTAATTTCTGAAAGAAATTTGTAGTCTTATCAATACCCAGGCGGATTTCTTTGATGTTGCACATGTGGTCTGGGCTCTAAGATCCAGGATTTGAACCCCACTACAGTTACCCAGTATTGGCGGTAGACAGCACTGGATTGGGACTATGCCTGTTCCCTTGGAATATTATGCTGTTCTCCAATTTAAGTTCCATAGCTTAGGTCACCGGTTTATATAGCTGAACCGTAGGATGATTCCGGAAAGAGCACGGTATGATGCGTGCAACAAGACCGGTTCTACCATATTACTTGGGTAGCATGTTTGCTTTCTACTTGTGAGGTCCCGGAGTACAACCCTTGGTTTTTTCGATAGATTTGGACTGCTGATGATAACCAACAAGGTTTAAGCAATTGTACAATCTTTCTCAGCTTTCCAGTTCACTCTTCTGTATAATGATGGAATCAATTATTCCACTTCTCTGAAATACCAACAATGTAAGAGAACAAGACGTTGCAGCGGTTACATTCTGTGAAGTTAATATACTTGTTCAAATGCGGATGAGATGAACGAGTATAATGTATCACGAATCATACTGCGTGCCTTTTTCAAGTTGACACAAAGAAAGCACTGTTTTAAATTACCACAATACTTTTACTTCCGCTTGTTCGTTATACGAGAATGTACAACTGTACGGTTGATTATCAGAAAACTGGGCCAAAGAACAAACTGATAAGTAGGAAGACAGTAGCAGGTTTAGAACTACGAGGTGATGGCCGGATAGCCTATACCTCCGTAGGGCGGTAATGGCCCAGTGGTTAAGGTCATGAAAACAGTACACCGGAAGTCCCGGGTTCGCACCGCTCCACCGTTGCCCATCTTCCCCGTTTCTGTATTTTTCCTGGCATCCTTTGTATGGCCGCGGCCCTCTTCCTGAATGTAGGCTGTAAATTTGTATATTCAATAAATAAAAAAGGAAGTCAAAAGACATCCCATCATCATCTACTGACCGATTAATAGTGTGTAATATGATCAGCCACGTTTGCAAGCCCATAAAAAATGATAACATTGCGTCTTTGGGGTTAGAACGCATTTGAAATCATGGTAAACAGCATAAAGCGCAGAAAAGATTCACGGCCAACTGTCTAAAATTTCAATCAGCATTAGAAAGTGGAGATGTTGGAACGAAGAATGACGGACAAGTACTGAAGGATTTTGATTGATGACAGCTATGTGACAATCGAATGAAATTGTCGAAATCTTGAAATTCTGCCTGCAACCAGGATGCGATCACATACGGATATGGATGTAAAATCTGCTTGGTATTGTAAACATAACAACAAATGGTCCTGCGTAGATGGGTTCTGCTATATTGTTTATATTCCAAATGAGACACGGTCTGATCAGCTGCCCAGTGGCCGAGTGGGTAGTATGCTTGCGTTCTATCTGTGAGGTCCCGGGTTAAATCCCCAGTTGGGTCGGTGGATTCGCACTGTTAATGAGACCCAAGTCGAAACAGCTATCCACTGTGCCCCAGCTCTTCCGCTCACGCCTCATTCACACGAAGAATTTATCATATTGTAGCATTCATTTATCTGTTCGCGTATATTCTCATTCTCATCACTGCTTAGTTTATTTTCTCCGATTGAAATTCCTGTTTTATCCGTCACTCCTATAAGCTGACAGACAAATTACTACTATGAAAGATTAACAAATATAGGAACTGGGCAGGAAAAAACCCAGAGTTTGTATTGTCTATGTCAAAATGGTATAGAAGAAGAGGAAATAAACTGGAAACGAATCAGTCATAAGTTCAGAAACTTATTTTCATATATTCGACTATTTTGAGTTACCATCAGCGGTGCCTTGATTTTCAAATTTCCAAGTCAAACCCCGTCATCCTAATATAAACCGATTTCCGGTACACATACATTCAAAATAGGCAGTGCAGCTTTTATGTGAAGCAATATGAGCTCAGTGCCCCAGAAGCTTGAGGTCAATTTCCTCTTAACATTACACAATTCAGACTACGGGTTAGCTCTGTGAGACGTAGAAGCGCCGTGTGACTAAGAGGTTTACCTTTTCTACCGTATTTCATACATGCCTTGGGGTCTAGTAACATAGCAATGAATCAGGTCACATATACAGAGGAAACCAACACACTTGGCTATTACACAGAGTGCACGTGGTCCAAGCGCACATATTTCAAATTGTGTCATTCAGAACAGAGTATTTGATTCCTAGCTCAAATAAATGCCAGAAAATTTGGTTTTGCACGGACAAAAGCAACATATGTTAACCATAAAATAAGACAAAACAGTAGGATCTAAGAAAACCAAGCTGAGTGCGGGTCGGCGAGGGGGTGAGTAAGTACGTGGAGAAAAGCAGCCATAGGTCATACGGCCAGTTCAAAATGTGCGTCTCAGTCGTAGACATCGAGAGAAGCGCATAGGAATGAAATGTCAGATAATCTCGTTTTCGGAGATTGTTGACACTTTGCGTTCTAATGCAATCAACGGGTTGATCAGGTCATGTAAAATCAAGGTTGTACTGTTGTATTGTCTTCGCCAACGAGTGGAATAATCACGCAAAGACCGTCATTCCGATGAACAGCCCCCAAAACTGGGTATTGTACTGGTGAGTATAGCATGCAACTATAAATGGCCGTGTTCTGTAAGAACAGGCCGTTTTTTCTTGATAACAAGGGCTCTAATCGGCTGGGTTTCATGACTGCTGACGAGCAGAGAGAAAAATACAAAACTGCGGTTAAGTTAAATGGCCCAACAGTGTTTGACAGGCAAGAAAACAAAGCACGCAACAGAAGAGAAGATGAATAGCTCAGTCTCTGAAAATTGCGTGTCGCGGTGTCGGTTCTCAAGTGCTTGGATAGGGCGAAAACGGGTGTATGAAGTTTGATCAACTCGCACAGGTCACTTGTACGTTTTCGCAACATCGAGGCGTTCAAGCATGAATAGAGTTGATCAGGTCATTATTCCACGAAAATCAATGAAAGAGAATGGACTTTGATCTTATTTGAGGTAGATGTAAACTAGAGTAATACGCATGTTCAAAGGTTGAAAGATCACTGGGTGATGACACAGGGTTAATTTGTTTCTTTTCAAAAGTCACATCCCATTCGCAGCGTGAGACAACCGATACACAGTGAAGAACTTTCTGGCAACCACTTCTCTAAATAGTTATGACGTTAATTGGACGATCGTTTGTATTGAAAATCCTACGTAATGACAGTTGATATCAACAAACGACGGATGGTTAGGTAGTGAACAATCAACTGTCTACACGAACATATGATCTACGACAAGTTGCACATTTACTCAAGCTCACAAACAGAAGATTTGTGATTCTATGGCACTTTTCATGAGTGTGGGGAAAAGTAGGAGTGCCTTCTATGATCAGAAGCGCCGAGAGAACAGTTATTGGAACGGGCGATCTAATCTCTAGGTATATATATTTCATAATAGGTACGATATGAATGACGACAAAATTTCCCTGGAAGCACACGACCGGTTTCGCGGTTCTTGCCGCTCGTCAGGCATGCGTATCCGGTAACCTTTTGTCAGTTCATTCATATACTTGCATATATATGTATATATATATATATATATATATATATATATATATATATATATATATATNTACAAATTATACAGAACGACACGAAAATGAACGATTTCCTGGACCTGAAGTAACGAACGACATCGCACGTAAATGGAAGAGGTGATGCATAGAGCCAGATGGAAGCGAAGATGTCTAACACGAAAGTTTGGAGGAGGTATTGCTCTTCGAGGGTCGGAGTACGAACACAATCAGACCACTAGCCATAGACAAACCCGAAGCAAACGAATGAACTGGTACTCACCAAATAGAAGGACGAAAAACGGTTGAAAATCAACCAATAAAACCATTCAAATGATATGGCTGTCAGCAACCGAGACCTCGTGTTGGTAAACAAAAGGCTTCGATGATAAAGACAGCCAATTCAGTTCAGTTTTTCAACCATTAACCATGCACTTTTGTGCCGGTTTTGGTCACTGTCTTCTAACTGCTCATCTGGATAAAACAGCAGAATGCAAATTGGATTGTTGAGAGGAAGATAGAGAATTCATGTAGATTGATTTTGCAGGAATATGGAGTAGATGCACGAGCGACACTGTCTGAGACAGCCATATTACTCAGTGTCTCTAACCACCGCTTACCATGATTTCGGGGTCCTCAGCCAGGGAGCCCAACGGGATTCCTGTGACCCAGTGTCCTGGTTAGGGTTTTCATACCCTCATGCCAGGTCTTCTTTTGACCACCCTTGACCTTTTTCCAACCTATACCTGCCTCGGCAAACAGCGTTCGCCGTGGCAATCTATCTGGTGACATGCATGACACAAGCCCCTACTACCTTGATCTATGAAGGTCGACTACCGGTTCCAGTGGATGACCGCGATTACCTAAAACTCTATGCCTAACCTCAGCATTGTTCGTCCGGTTACCTCACCAGACTCGTGCAATGCGAAGTAGACAGCGGTGTTCGAACACCGACAATCTATTTTATCCTGTTCCCGTAAAGGCCAAGTCTCTGCACCGTAGAGCAGCACTCGTCTGATTGCTGCAGCATACATTTGACCCTTCACGGACAGCCAGGTGTAGCGACGGCGACACAGATGCCTCAAGTTGGCAAATGCCAACCGAGCCTTCTGTACGCGTGCTGACACTTCAGACAGTCAAATAGGATATTGTTTTTATGGTTCGCACGCAGCAGAAGCTTAGAGATTTATAAAAGGGCATATTCAAGGTCATTCCGAGGCCGGTATTTGGGTTGACTGTGTGCGAGAGAAAAAAACACTAGCCCATCCGGATATCCTGTCAATTGATGTATTTCTGAGCTCGTCCGATTTGTTTTAAAAGTAAAACTAATGAATTTATTCTATAACTTATAAAAACAACTGGGAGAAGTTTTTTATTGGTTCTCGGAAGAAAAGTGCTGTAAAGAGATCAGCAATATTGTCCGATAGTACATAGATGCAATGCAGACCAACTGCAGTTATTGATAAAGGTTCTACCTCATCCGCTTTTCGCCCAACACGACACACCATCCACATACTAGGGAACGAGTTCGGCCTTTAAATAATGTGTTCAGGTTAGAAATACGCCAAACATAGACTGGACGTTACCTTTTCGAAAACGACGATCATAGAAAAGGAATAAGCCTCCGTACTACATCATTCGAATGAATCCTGGAGGTCTTAGGCTGCCAAAAGTTTACGACCAGTAAAATGAGTGTCCAGGCCATGGATAGAAGAAAATCTACTGAAGTCCTTAAAAAGCAATCACCAACGACCAGCAATAACGCTTGAGGACATGGTGAGTTTTTGGCTGGCAAGGGATCTCTGCAAAAAACTCCACAGATGTTCGTAGAAAACATTAAAGTGTGTGAAGATCAAGCACACCATTAATTAAAGCCCTCGCCTTTACCCTAATGCCTTACGGGGAGCAATTGGTTGTGCAAAAGCTAGAGACATGACCCTTGAAGAAAACGGAGATGCCACTTTGTACGAAACTCCGAGGATTCTTCGAAATTTCCTCCGTGAAAACGATTTATCTTAGTTTAGAAGCAAATCACACAAAAGTAAAGCAGCCCAAATGGAGCAATGCGAGTAGATAATGAAACTAAAAAATGGAAACTCCCATTTAGGTAAGAAAAAGTCAGCGATAACGGATAGGGTGGACACGGAATGCATACAAACTAAATCAAGCATAAAAATCAGTTTATATGTTTGCAACCGATAAAAATAGCGATCTATTGATAGCGATCCTCAAAGGTGTTAGACGTGTACCCATACGATCCGTAACGAACAGGTGAAACAAATCCAATAGCGCAGTATTTGTAGCAAGCCTACTCAAATCAAAACGATTCAGTCACAAAAACAGTATCGACTGTATATGGATTTTCATGCCCACGACAAATTATGAGTCCAGAAGAGTAACACGCTCAAACGCGTTCTCAAGAGGCAATACTAATCTTGGGTCACGTGAAGAACTTAACCCTATTAGTAATAGACGCGAACAAAAGAATGCTGTATCCGTTGGTGAACCAGGGCAAAGTAATGCATAATTGAAAAAGATGATTGACGATAGTTACTGTTTCCATCTTGACCCGAGCCAGAATCCCAAAGGCCAACCACCACTACTATAGACCAGCGCTCATGATTACGTGTGAGAAACGGTCATTTCATCCTCAGTTTGTGGATTTTTTCCACGCCAAAATCTGTTTGGTTGATTGTCAGTTCTTTCTTTGTCGAAAGAAAACCAGATGAAGCACGCCCGATTAGTTGACATATCATAAATAGAGCTGATAATAGTGCTCGGTGGGAATAAATTTGATGATAATACTGAGGGACAGTTCACACGTGTTACTGATCACGAGGCGAGATTTACTGTGCACCAAACTGAAGGGAAACTGGACAAATTGAAATTATTTATACAGAAGCATTCAGACCAAAGAACCAAATTCATCTCTTCCATACAACTAAATTGAAATCTCAATAAATTCCATGGGAAACGAAAAACAGTCTTGCGGATGTATCTTTGTTGCACCCAACAAGATAGTGAAAGAAAACTTCGTTGATCAAACATGACGCTACTGAAATAATGGGTTTATGAAAAAAACAGAACCCCATGGGCTGTAGGATTCCAAGTTCACGATCAGTGACGCGACGCGCTACCGGGCGCATATCGAGATTGTAAATAAGCGAGCGGTGATTTAGGTGGAAAAACGTGAACACTGCTTTACTGAATCAGTAGTCACCGAAGATCACTGCTAATATCTACGAACATAGCGAGTTTACATTTGGCATATCATTTCTTCGCACCAAAAATTCACAGAATTACGTGGATGTGTGCCAGGTTGATCCATCACTAAATAGGACCGTTTTTACCATTGAGGAGAAACACTGCTCAACAGGAGACTGCAGTGTTTTCTAACGTTATTTAACGTTCAGTTTCCGTTTCTCAGCCTGGTTGTCAATTTGTTCAACGAATGCATCAGTACTAGTAGGAACGTTTATTCGGTTAGAAAATTATTCATTGAGATTTTCACAAATGAGGAGGAAGAGGGTACAATCAACTGAGGTAATGTATCATCTTTTCGAATCCCTAAGGTGCAGTAGATTGGTGTTAAATATATAAATATATAGGGTCCAACATCTGTTGGACAATTTGGCTGAGTATTTCTGTAAACAGGCCTCGTGCATAGCGGCATAGCAGAGATCCTACTACATGCTCGATGAGTGACCGCATCTTTTCATCAGTTACAAATAATATTCATTAGGAAGAAATACAACTTATGGTTTCAAAAGCAGCGATTTGCTCCATTAGAACCGCATGGTGAAGTGTGTGTGTGTCTGTGTGAATGGGGGAGGGGGCTTGAAAGCAGATGGAATCCCAGGAATCGTCAGCATGTGGTTATGGACAGGTGCGAACCACATAAAAAATGGATCAAAATAAAATTGACTTGGCTATAAATGTAGTTACAGTACCTAGTTACGAGCTACCTAGTACGAGTTATCGTTAATAAACAATACCGAAGCTGACGTCAGTCGAGGATAAGCAACATCATCAACAACAGCAAAAAACGGTGCGTCAGCATGTGCATTTGAAATGAACAACTTCTGTTTACCCTTAAAACTTGCAACACACATGTACTCACAAGGGTCGGATCAGCGGGTGCACCGTACATCAGCAACACAGTGAATTAGTTCAAATTGCAGGGGTAGGAAAAACGAAAAAAATTTTCCAATTGGTCTAATTTGGGAAGCCTCCATCCATCAACACTGATGAATATACACCATTCTCTATTGCCACCGGTACCCCATCAGCGATGTGTGTTCACATTAACGGACCAATGACCGCGCTTCAACAATCTGTCTGCGTTGCATCATGAACAAATTACACGAATCCGGTTAGGAGGTCGCTGAACGCCGACATACCCCCCTGCCCACTCCGCACGGGCTGCTTTTAGTTTGAGTGACGGCAGCCAATAATTTGCATAATACTCAAGAACTTATTCAAAAGGCGGACAAACCAGTTCGGTCGAATGGTGAAAGAATAAAAGTTCTCTTTATCATGTGTTCCAAAATATGGTGAGGATATAAGATAGTGTGCAATGCAAGTAAGTGAATCGATCACATTGAAGCGAATACACAGTGCACCTACTATGAAAACTTAGTTACCTAGCTACGGTGAGAATATGCATTAGATCTGCGGCGTGATAGTGTTCACCGGCTGCGACCATGTTTAATTACTTGTTCACTTCTTCCGACTTACTGTGGACCAATGCATTCTGTTCGCAGAAAAAACACCAGTTTAAAGGACTACATAGAGTGGGAATAGTTCAACATTTGAAAGAAAGTCCTGGGACGAAGTTAGAGCTTTGGATCTTCCAGTTCGAACGGATAATAGAACTCGATCGAGGACATGATCCTGAAAAACCGCCGTCTAATCAAAAATTGTTCACAGTCAATGATGGACTGTTTATCTCAAAGTGCGTCAGTTAAGGACACGGTCAGTTAGAGAGGGTCGATTTGAGTCAAAAACGGATAGGAGTTGGGCAGAAAACGAACAAACAGAGACACGTGACCCAGTTAACAACTGACCTGCAGAGAGAACTGGAATCGGATGGGTACGTCGAGCTCCCTCGTCCAGTAGTGTCCCAATCGGAGTATCAGCGGCAACAAAGTGAACGGAGTGCTGTTAGTAAATGCGAAACGGGCCAAAACACAAAATCACATCACTTTAAAAATTTATTTTGGATGTAAGAACCAGCACAAGTACAAGTAAAATCATAAATCCATGAGCATTGAGTATCTGAATGAACGGTTGCCCACGACGATCAGCGGCAATGCATTGCTTTGAAGCAGCCAATGAAGACATTTTGCAAATTCCATTGTGAGATTCACGAATCTGGCCGACACAACGTCAGATCATCATGATCGCCCCATTCTCCGACAAGTATCGATGGGCTGTGCGAGGGCGAGGAGAGGATCGTCCAAGAAAAAGGCTGAGGTATACCAGAGGTGCTACTTTACACTACCACTCCCCAAATTTTTCATGCATTCATTTGGTGAGGCTAAACTATCCCTAAGCAGAAGGCTAACTGAAAGTCAAGACTGATTCGATGAAGAGTTTCATAACTTCAAAAGCGATATAGGTGGTAACCCAAACTAATCACTTTCATCAATATAACCAATGTCGGAGGTTAGTGATCATTTTACACCCTCCTATGATTAGCAGTTTATTGATCCACACTGTCTAGTGAGAAGGAAACAACTAACAACAACGCGGTTGCCTATCATCAAAGTAGCACAGTAGAAGTGGAGTTTGACCTAGCGGAACGGTATATCAAAAATAGCTCTCTATAAAAGAATGTCAAACACCAGACGTACAATTTTGTCAGGTGGTTTGATTGGAAATTCTCGGAGTTCATAAAACGTTCGAATTTGGTTCTCTTTTACAAGATATACAAAACAATATAAGAGGAAGATTGTCTGTGTACTGGAAGTGCATGGAAAATGGTGACCCGTTGTGCAACAGATCGAACAGTTCCTTTTCCATTGACAAAACTAAGTCAGATCTACATGTCACGAGGTAAAGGAGAGAAGATAGTGCCGCCGAATGTTCAATTTCTATGGTCGACTTAGTACATTATGGCCACTGCTATAAATCCCCCAAAACAGTGCCGAAATGAGGAGTTTTTTACTGGAAGAACGATGAGAGTAGAGGGCAAGTCGTGTTACACAGAACGAAACAACCAAGTCACGGTTTCATGGAAGAATCTGGATTTTTGGTCAAACACTTCACCAGTCTGCTCGCATTTTCTGTTGCTGCAATACCGGATTCACTTATCTGCTCCAGGATACCCTGTTTATTTCTGAATATGGTAAGTATCAGTCAGCTAGTGTATCATACTGCTTCTGTAATGTGAATGGTACCTCACAGAACCACTACTGCCGGAAAAGGCGTTCCAGATGCAACTGAATCGAACTAATTATTACAGACTTGTCTGGAACAACTCTGCTGCTTTGTAGGGTATGTGGATGTGAAAGGACTGGAGGTGCAACCTCGGATAGGGAAACCGAACGATACTGAGAACACTGCGCGCAATCCTATTCCAGAGAGTTCTCATGATTTCGCAGAAGAAAGTTACACACAAGAATCATATAACTCAACCAAATTAATGATTTCACTTATACTACTGAAATCAATCGGAACAAAGATTCCTCGTAAACGGAAATTAATTTTCTCTTGAGTAAATATTTCCGATAGGTTCATTGGAAAAACAAAGATGTGGCGAACAAGCTCGCTTTCAGTGCTTTATCGGCTGGACAATTACAGCACACTATATAACTCGGGGAAATAACACGGGAACACAGTCAAATCAGTGTTTTAAAGTGTGTGAACTGTGAG